CTCCAGCAGTGCTGTCGACATCTCCTTGGACCTCTCTATGAACATATGGTTCCTCTGCTTGCGATCCGTTTTCTTTGGTTATTCCTTTGCCTCAATGAGCGCTTATGCCGCCTGGATATGCCCCAGGGACTTGGCTGCCCATGCAGTTCCTTTTTCTTTCCTCTTTTGTTCTCGGCATATTGGCTCTCTCGTAATGTACTACTCTCCTCCATGTCTCGTCATTTCCTCGTCGCTCCACTTGATCCATTCCTCCTGCCACAGCTCCAGCTCGCAGTCGATGCGCGCCCTTCTCCATTTACTGATCTTGCCTCCTCGATTTCTTTTCATGCCCAGGGGCATTATTGGTGTGCTCCCTGTGGCTTTCTATCATCTTGTAGTACCCGAGCCCTTTTGTTGTTGCGCCCGCATGGCCATAGCTGACTGCTGTTCGTGAAGGCCTTTGCCAGCTCCAGCGTCTCGCACTTCGAGATAACCCCGCTAGTGCGCAACACTGCGAACCGGGGCCGTCGTTGAGCCAGATTTGTTGCGGGAGCCGTCGATTGATTTGGAGGAGTACGAGGAGGAGGCATGAGGACTATGGCACAAGTGGGACATATCAACAACCTTGCCGCACGACACCATCCTGTCTCAAGTGCACTCAATACGATTATGTGCGCGCCGCTCGTGTCATTGCATGGGCGCCTCTTGAAAGATGAAGTGTTCATAGGCTTTCGAGTTGTTTCAGAGCCCCGTTGTGCACAGAACCAGTCCACCATGGTTGTAGATCTTCGACATGCCAGAATACCAGATCATGAATTTGCCCAAATATGTAGTGTAAGGTTGGGAACGCGTTCGCCTTCTGTCCGTGCAAATGGTGTTCATGGATAGGACGTTCCAGGCGAGCGCAGCATCAGCCGACGTTTTAATGCATTGTGTTCTTCGTCCGGTCGATGTCGTAACGGGCGAGGGCCACGTTGACCGTTGCTCGGCTTGTTTGGGAGGGTATTGTTTTTTTGTGTGTGTGTGTGGTTTTTAGTTGGAATTTTGGAATTCGTTGCGTTGTTGGGTGCGGCGGGGTTGCCGCGAAATCTGGATATGAGTTGCAATATCATGTTGCCTTACTCTTCTCTGGTTGCTACCGTTGCTGCGCTGCTTGCTCATACCGCCTTCGAAATTCTGGTCACCATCGGCTCATGTGGATATTCGTCCTTCGTTTGGAATTTGGCAAGTTTTGGGATGCCCAGAGTTTATTATAAGGTTTTGGCGTTTTTAGAAGTCCCCATGCGATTGAGGTTTCCACGGCGTTCCTGTGTACGACGGCTCCAGGAAGGGGGGGGGATACAGGGGAGATTCTCACGCAGGGCAATGTGGAGTTTGTTGGCTGCACGGTCTAGGCTGTTCGCGCGATTGGTCCTGCCATTCCCAACCATCCTGTTGTGTTGGGTTCCCGCGTTGGATTAGCAACGCCCCGCGCTCCTGCTCCTCCTCTCCTCTCCCCCCCCTCTTCCCCCACGTCCTCTGCCTCCTCCAAGTCGAACGGTAGGTCAACTCTTCTCCTGGCACGCCAGCAGCAGGGCCGCATGTGCTTGGGGCCGCCGTTGTGAGACAAGTTCGGCCTGGCAGCGCGCCCGCTCTACTACTCCCCATGCGCTGTTCGACACACATTCCCTTCACGGTAAAAGATTGTTCTTTCACCATCTATTTGATTCTAGTTGGTAGCGGAGCACCTTGCTCCACCATCGCGCCCGCCGCAATGGTCCCCGGAATGTTCTTCCGTGCTAGTGGGAACCGCTATACATTGACCTTTTTCGACCCGCTTTCGTCCGTGGTAGTGGCAACCGCTCTATATGGACCTTTTTCGACACGCTCTACGTCTACGTGGACCATACGCACCCGTTCCACATCCGTACTTCTCGTCCACGTCGTGTTGGCAGTTGACTCGCCTCCAGGAGCAGTCGGGGCCCCGCCGGCCCAGCCGCTGGGAGCAGCTGAGATGCAGTACGGCCACTACGACAAGTGCGCCCACGAGAACAACAGCGCGCCCCGCGCCCCGGCCCCCCCTCGTGCACTCCCGAATTGCGTTGGACGTGTTCGGGGGCTTTTTCGTCGCCAGAGCACTCGCTTGCGATCGCCTCCGTCAGCGTCAGACCGCCGAGCCATCTGACTTCCACGGTCAAGGCGTCGGCACACTGCCCCGAGCCAGGCGCCGCTTCGTTGCGGAAGCCCGTGAGGAAAGGAGCAGGGCGCACGTCGTCGGCGTCGGCAGATTGCTCCGCGTTCTCCACGAGCGTGCTGTGGGAGTCCAGGGACGCGCGTGCAGGCAAATGAGGGAATGCAAAGGAGAACGTCGCAGGTGTGTTGCCATCTTTCCGGGGGAGTGTTACGCAAGTTTGGGACTACAGTCAAAAACCCTATCAGGACGCGCGACTTTGTTCAGGGTGCCCTTGCGTCCTTGCTCTTCCTTGCTCTTGCGTCCTTGAGGTCTTCGTCGTCCGCCGCCCAAAAAATCCCAATTTCGGCTTCCAAGGGTCTTGCGTCCTTACCGCGCGTTCTTTTTTTGGTTTTTGATTGTATTTATTTTCGGTTCTGTTGGGCACGATCTGTTACGTTACTCGCGCATTCCCTGTTTATGTGCAGACCTGAATCCCTATGGCAACTCCTCTTGACTACCGCGCAGATGGCAGTGCCCAGTAGACTGTCAATACGACCCACCACGAGTTTGAATTGCCACTATGCGGCGGGGTGCTCCGAGTGCAGTCCGCGCGCCAACCGCGCGATCGAAGTGGAGACCCCTGCGCTCGTGAAGAGGAGCACGCCACGGACAGACACCCATGACGGCTTCGAGGATCACCGCCAGAACGCCGCCGGTGGGCGCCCGGATAGGATTGCCGCGCCTTCCGTGGGCGCGGGTGGCGGGGGCAGCGTCGACATGCGACGCCTCCGCACCTGGGGCCCGAGCAGCAAGGCAGCGTGCCCTTCCAGCTCTGGACGCGGTAGGTGGTGATCTTGTCAGTGGGAATTTCAGACCTCAACGAGTTTCGCCAAGCTGCTTAATAGTCGTCTCGCTTGACCAGCAAGGCTCGCGAGAGCGTGGACACGGCTGTTCTCGTCCAGGGCGGTCAGACTAGTGGCAACCCAGCGCCGCCACTGACCCACCTCAAGGACAGCTTGCTGAGCGGCGGGGCCAGCTTGGAGAGGAAGGGCACACGCAGACGGCATCGACCCTGATGGACTTTGACCGATTTCCGCGGGAGCGCATTGAAAACCCCCTTTACAAGGTTCATCATCCGCAACAGGGCGCAGCAGGCCGGTCATGCCACGATCGGTCACGAAGGCTTGAGTTACTTGTTGCTGCGCGCAGTGGGTACGTCGAACATCCAGCTCACCATGGCCTTGCAGCGCTGTGACATGGCCTACCCGACGGGCGCGCCATAGCTGGCGTGCACGTAGGCCGCCTGCGCAAATTTGGTCACGTGGTCGGAGGCTCGCAGGGCAATCTCGCCTCGGCCGCGCGTTCGCCCTGACGCCGAGCCTCGCGGGCGCGCCCACTCGCGATAAGGATCAGAGCGCCTGTGGCATTGGGGCCCGATCGAGCTGGGACGGCACGCGCCCCTCAGCCCTTGGAGCGGCGTCTAGTCCGCCCGCGTCACCATCTGCCGCCAGCGCGGGCACAGCAGCACCGCAAGCGCCATATCCAGCAGCAGGTTTCGACTCCGGCACGGGCTCCGACACCGCCAGCTCACTCGGCGCGCACTTCGTTCGGGCCTACGAGCGCGCCAAGTCCCGATGGCGCCGCTTCAACAACAACAACAACCACAACAACAACCACAACAACAACAAAAGGCTCACGCGCCATGCGCGGAGGGTCATCAGACGCAAAGGCAGAGGCCACGGAAAAAAAACAGATACCGTGTTTTTTTGGCCGACGTGTCTGGCAGCGTTTTCCGCGAAATTTTCGCCTGCTTTGGGAAGGGAAAGGGTAATGGAAAGGGCAAGCGCCAGACCAGTTGATTGGCGTTTGGCTGGCAAGGTACGCACGTCGTCCAGACCCGCCGCCGCAAGTGTGAGATCTCCCAGGCTTGTCCTCATTCGGATGTGTTATCATTTTGCTTTCGTCTCAGACCAGGTGTTGCTAGAAGTGGTATGGCCAAAGGTTCGGCACGAACGAACTGGGTACGGAAAGAATGGCACATTGCCTATTCGCGCCGCCGCGGCCTATGTCAAGTTGAGACAAAAGGTCGCCTGCCAAACAGCGGCCGCTGTTGGTTTGAGACAACATGTGTTGTTGGGTATTGTACCCATTGTTTTCGTACCCAGTTCGGGCGTCAAAAGAGGTGTTCCCAGCTTGTCGCGCCACGTTGGGTTTTTTTGGCCTTCTGGGCCTCGTGAGGGGCAGTCTGGAGGCCGTCTGGCCCCCCCCTCGCGGATCCTGCGGGCGCCTCCCTCTCATCCGAATGAGTCCTCCTCCTCCTGGGTTCTTCTGGCATGGAGGAGTTGGGCAACGTCAGGGGGGGGTCTCCACTACGGGGGGCACCACCACGTCCTTCCAGAAATCGAGGATCGAGGAAGAGGGAGGATCGAATATCAGTGGGTGTTTCGGCTGCGAACGAGGGGGGGGAACCCTCTCAGAAGGCGGCGGGGTTTCTCAGAAACCCTCCAGAGTTCTCAGAAGTTGTTTCTGCTGTCGCGGATGGCTTCGGAACTTCTTATAAGGCCGGAAGGGTTCCGAATTTATTGAGATGGCCCGGCTCTTCTCACTTCCCCTCAGGCGCGCCGCGGAGTGAAGATCGAACATATGGGATCGAGGACTTGTAGGCGAGGGGTGGCCCTTTCCCCGAGGAGGTGGACATTCCCCCCTTGGTGGATCGCCTGGAGGAGGAGGAGGAGGAGGAGGAGGAGGAGGATGAGGAGGAAGAGAAGGAGGAGGAGGAGGAGGAGAGAGGCGAGGACTGGCGGGGGGGGGCCGAGCCGTAGGAATGCCGTGCGCACGGCCCCGCAGGGAGGAGCCCCCACCCTGCGAGGTGTTGGAGCTGTCGCAGTGCTGCGTGGCCCTGCGGTGCGCGGCGAACGAGGAGGCGGTGTGGAAGGCGTTTCCGCGGACGGTGTCGCCGGGGTCTCCTCGCGATGTGCAGAAGTCACGGCGGGGGAGTTTCGGCCACATTCGGTTGCCAAGGACGGCCCAGGACAAAAGATCGGCCCATGGGTAGGAAGGATTCTAGACCTCTGGGGGCGCGCAAAGAGGCAGTCTAGGAAGAAGAACATGTACAATCAGTTCAACTGTTCGGCGTTCCGCGGTGACTTCTTGGGTCGACGCTGGGCATCGTGGAGGCGCCTTTGGCGGCGCCCCTGGTGCACTCTGCGCGCAAAGGGGGGGGGGTCCACCACCGATCCAGGAAATCCGCGCTGACTCCGACACTTGCTTTTGTTGCGACCTGCTTGGTTCAAGTTAAATCTGCCCACGGCGTGTTTGTTAGCGTTGTCGGCTCGGCGTCTTGGGAATCATGTTTTAGCGTTTTTCAGTTCCCAACCAAAAAAACTGAAAACGATAAACGAGTGATGCGTTGTTTCAGCGGTATCTGAATATTTTCCAGCGTTTTCAGGTCCGTGGATTACGTGATTCCTTCTCATTGCGTATCCCTATCGTCTTCTTTTATGCTGGTTTGCTTTCTGTGGCCGTCGCTGGTGACTCGTCGCGGAAGCCCGCCCTTCCCTGCTGCAACCCCCCTTCCGGTGTTAGAGTTGTGTCACATCGTTTTTTGTGTGTATGCGTTTTTAGGTCTCCGCGCGGGAACCGGTTTTTGGGCCCCCCTTCCGTGTACGCAGCTCATGGATCAAGGCAGGTGCGTCGACCTGGGAATGGGAAGGGGGGGCAGAAAAGGCGAACGGTGGCAGGGCGGGGAGCGCGGGAGCCAAGCTGGCAGAGAAAGCAAGGATGAACATTCGACGATCATGCAAAACAAGAAGGATAACAAAAAAACACCAACGCATTCTACCACAGCGACGAACCTGAAAACGCCACCAACAACATCAACGACCCTAAACACGGGTGAATAAACAAAAACATTGCAACGTTAGTTGAGCGTGTTCAGCATGTCAAGAGCCAAAATTAGAAAACGCTTTGAAACAAAACGCCCAGGGTGTTTTAATATGAACCAAGTCGACCTGGGGCAATCCAGGAATATGTTATATGTTTATGCAGTTCGTTGTTCCTCTAAGTTTGGAAGACTCTCTCAGATGGCCTGTTGAGGAAAGGGTCTATTCGGTAGGCCAAGGACAGGACAGTCAAGTTTGATTAGTAGGTCGACCCTTCCAAATCACTGGTGCCCGTGTGTCCTGTGTTTTGCGACCCATGTCCTTTGCATTCCCGTGGCAGTGTGGCCCTCGGAAGGGTCTTAAGTTCTCTCGCGCGTCCTCGCCAACCAAATTCGATGTTTATCGAGGACACGCTGCCCTGGGGGACCCACCCACGTGTCAAAGTTGAAGAAACACCTGTCCGTCGGGCAACGATGAAGAAGGAGCACGTTAACGGGCTCCCAGTGACGGTGTACCATTGATCTGTTTTGTTTTGTCAATGCGCTGCTCGGGCATAACTACCACTGGCTGAACTCCCGCTCCGCCTCCTCCCCCTCCTCCCCCTCCTCCTCCTCCTCATCCTCCTCCTCCTCATCATCATCATCATCCGTCATCCTCTCCGTCGTTCTTTTCTCCTGTTTCAGCCTCGCCCTCCTCCTCCTCCTCCACCACCACCACCACCTCCCGTCCTCCTCCGCCTCCTCCAATCCTCTTCCTGATGGATAACTCCCCCCTGTCGCATTCCGAGACGTGTCCATAGGGCGGGCCGGGCGTTTCGCCTGAGATTTCCTCACCGCTTCAGATTTTGAAGCATGACATTTGCAACAGTTTCACGCGTGGAGGGCGGGTGCTGTCCAAAGCGTGGTTCAGCGCCACGCACCTTCGTCTTCAAATCTTGCAAGAGGGCTATACGGAGGACGGGTGGCTACTAGCATGTGATTATCGCCTTAGCGCCGCGCACATTAGTCTTACATGTTTGCAAGAGGTTCACGTATTTTGGGGCGGGTGGATGTAAGAATGTTGTTCTCGCGCTAGCGCCGTGCACATCTGGAGGGCGGGTGGTTTATTAAACAGTGTGGTTCTCGCCTTATCGCCGCCAACATTCGTCCTTCAAAGTTTACAGGGGCTTCACGTATGGAGGGTGGCTCATTTTGCCAATGTGGTTTTCGCCTGAGCGTCGCGCACATTCGTTTTACAATATTGTATGAGTTTGACAGATAGGTGACGGGTGGTTTTAAACATGTTGTTACCGCGCAGTGCCGCGCACATTCGTTTGAACAGTTCGCCGGCTTTTCCCGACTGGAGGACGGTTCTGTGTCAATAGGTGTCTATTGCAAGAGGGCTTCTTTTATTCGTTGTAGAAGTTTCAAACAGTTTGGTTGATGACTACGTTTGGCCGTCCCAGAAATTTTGTTCCAGCACGGCATACGATTATCAGGGCGCATCAGTCATGTTGATTCGTGGTGTTGAATCCCCAGGAATTGTATCTTGGCGCGTTCAAGCGTCGTCAGGGCGCAATCGTGAAGTTGATTCGCGGCGTTGAAGCCCAAGGAAAGGTGTGCTGGTACGAGTGAGGATTATCATGTGGACGTCTTCAAACGGAGCACTTCCAGCTTGTAGGGACCTGTGAAGAGGAAACGAGGAGCGAGGGTCGATTGCAATATCGTTGATGCGTCTTGGGTTTATACTGGTCCTCTTCCTCCTTCTCCTCCTCCCCCTTTCTCCGGCCCGATCCTCCTCGCTCCCTCCCCTCACTGCCCGCTTCTGCAGCGGAGCCTGGGGGGTCGCCACGCTCGGCGACTCGCCCCCGCCGCGCGCGCCCTGCGCTCTCCCTGCGAGCGACAGGCGCTCCTGCGCCTCCGCAATGGCGCCGTGCTGGGGGCGCTCTTCGGCGAGGACTTTGGCCGGGGGCACAGAAAGCCAAGCTCAGGGGAGGAAGAGGCTCGGGGGCTGCTAAAGGTGCCCCTGGCCCACGGTGCACTCAGCTTTTCGCTCAATTCTGGATCCCCCGGGGCCCTCTGGCCATCGTGGGGGGGTGTCTGAAGGCCGTGGGGGCATCCTTGGAAATCCTGGGGGGCACCTTGGGCCAGGGGCGTTCTCAGCAAATGTACCGCTGCCGCTACCGTGAGAACAAACAACAACGATGGGTTGTCTGAGCATATTCAATCTGCGGGGGCCCTTGAAGGTGCCCAAGGACTGTCAAAGAACGACTCGTGATAACAACGGACCCCAGAGAAGGGAGGGGTCGGGACTTCAGGAATCCGAGTTGTGAACGCATCACGACGTTAGAATTATGGGGATCCTGGCCAGGTTCATGTTGTGCCCAGGACTCAGAGGTTCGAGGAGGCCATTCGCCATTCGGGCCGCGGGAACGCCAAATACCAGCTGCCAGGATGGACCTCAGCAGGGCTCTAGTGGCACCTGTTGGAGGGGAAACAGACACCGATGCTCATTCGGGCCTCCCAGGGCTTAAGAACCTTGGTCAGAGCGCACTCCCAAATGGATCGGCGCACATGATTCCTGTCCTGGCCCGACTTGACGGACGTACGCACCGATCCTGGACCCGTAGGTTACACGTAAGAGTGACCTTTCGCCACAGTGACCGTTGGTACGAGGCGTTTGCGGGGCGCGGGCGCGGGGGCCAAATCGAAGCAAGCAGGCCGCTATTGCCACATTGCATGCAACGATCGGAAAGTTGCGCAACAAAGATCCTCATTGCCACTGGTCTCTCTTGCATGCAGTTGGCTCCAGGATGGGCCGAGCAAGGATCGGTGCAGGTGTATTGCGAAGGCCTTACGGCCGGTGCCGCCGACCCTGACGACTGCGACGACGAGGACGACGACGATGTTGAGCACCTCTTCGTCTGTATGGGCGCCTCTTGGGGCCCTCTTGGGGCAATCTTGGGAACCTCAGGGGCGCTCTTGGGGCCATCTTATGGGAGATCAATCAAAGAAGGGGGGGTCCTTTATCAAGGCTCCCCTCGGGAGCCCCAGAGATCGCTCTTGGAGCGCAATTGGAGCGTTCTTAGGCGCTCTTGGGCTCGAACAAGCAGGGCCGAGGACAAGTGGCGAATGGCGACGGAAATGGCATTCTAACCCAGGCCCCCCCCCAGGTCTCCCACGAATTTGCCCCAGGACCCCCTCCACGAGACCCCCCCCCAGCGGGGAAGGGATCAATGGAAGGTGTTTTTGTTCGAATGAATTGCGATGTTCGGTGTTGTCGTTCTTGGCTAGCACGCTTGAAAAGAAAGGCCCAGGGGAAAAGAGGTAACTGCTAACTGCTCGTGATCGTCGTCGTCATCGTCGTCAGCCGCTTGGGGCTGCTGGGGGATTTTGTCGCCGAGGGCTCGTTGAGCCGTCTTGGGCACCCTGTGGACGAGTCTTGGAAGTCCGGGGGCCTCTTGGAGGTCTCGTGGAGAATTCCTGGGGACTTCTTTGGGCTTCCGGGACCGCGCGGGGGTTCAGGGACCGCGCGGGGACCGCGACAGGGTTTCGGAATCGCGCGGTTGGAAAGCGTATTTGGGTGGCTACCCCCCCCCTGGGATCCCCCCCTGGATTTCCCCCCCTGCCCGCGCGGGAAGGGATCAAAGGGAAGGGGTTTCCTTTCGATTCCACTCCTATGTCGTTAAATTTTGCTTTGGACGACACGTGTGAGGAAGAGGGCCCAGCAAATGGAACAGAGGAGGACGGAGACGACGACTCCACCGGAGAAGGCGAGGGCTTCGGAATCGCGCGGGGGGACAAAGCGTATCTTAGTGGCGACCCCCGCCAGGAGCCCCTTGGGACCCCCCCCGGGATCCCCGCGGGCCCCCCCCCTCCGGGGCGCGGGGAAGGGATCTAAGGGAAGGGGGTTTCCCTTCGGTTCCACTCCTATGTTGTTCGATTTTACTTTGGACGGCGCGTATGAGGAAGAGGGCCCAGGCAAATGGAACACAGGAGGACGGAGACGACGATTCCAACGGAAAAGCCCGACTCGAACGGAAAAGCCCCTCACACACGCCGACATGGTGTATCATTGACGCCCTCCGACGAGGAGTTGCCGCTCCCGCGAGACGGGCGCGCGGGGGGGGTCGTTATCGTTTTCTTGCGTTCTTCGTCACTATCCTCGCTCTCAGGCTTGTCGTCGTGTCGTCGTCCTCTTCCTCCTCCGCCCACATCCCGCCCTCTTCACCTTCGTCCTCCTCATCCTCGTCCTCGTCGATGTCCGCATTGTCTTCGTCGCCGTCGTCCTCGCATTGTCGGCTGGTTCGCTCCTCTTGTTGCAGCTTCTGCTGCTAAAGGCTTTGAGGTCTCCTAGAGACGCAGCATGCCACGTCCTTCTCCTCCATCCCCTTTTCTAATACATCGATCCTCCCTGTCGGACCCCCAGACGTGGCGGTAGGGCGGGCTGTGCGATTCGAGTGAGATTCCCTCACCACGTATGGTCCTGAGGCTTGAGACTTGCAGCAGTTTCACGGATGGAAGGCGGGTCGTTTTCAGCATGTGATTTTCGATTCAGCACTGCACCAGTTTCCAGGATGGAGGACAGGTGGTTTTTATAATGCGGTTATGTTTTTTTGACGTTGCGCCCATTAGCGTCAACAATTCGCACGGAGTTCAAGGGTTCGTATGGTTGAAGTCCCAGGAATGGTGTTCCAATATTTTGAGGGTTGCCAGGACGCAACAGACACGGTGATTCTCGGTGTTGAATTCCAACGAATGATGTGTTGCAAGGATCAGGACGCAATAGTTACGTTGATCTTCTGCGTTGAACTCCCAGGAGTGTTTTTGGGCACGATTGAGGATTCTCAGACGGTTGCTTTCTAATGAGGCATTTCCCGCTTCGAACATGAAGTGCTGCAAGGACCTATGAAGAGGGTTTATTGCAACATCATTGATGCGTCTTTGGTTTACTCTGGTCCTCCTCCTCCTACTGGACCTCCTCTTCCTCCTCCCACTCCCACTCCTACTCCTCTCCCGCCATCGCCCTCCTCCTCCGTCTCCTGGCGCTGGTTCTGCGGTTCTCGCCCCGAGGGCGGTGCCCCGGCGTGCGCCTCGGGGCCGGATGCACATGCGGCATTGCCGTCCCCTCATCTCCAGGGGGCGGGGGCAAGCGAGGAGGAGGCAGAGTAGGGTGAGGGGGGTGAAGAGGAGGTGGAGGAGGGTGAGGAGGAAAGGAGTTGTCGTAGTTTCAACGGGGGCTCTGCCGCAGGTGGCGCGGCATTAGTATTCGCAGGCCGCGACATGTGACATTTCGCGTGTGCACACATGCCAGGGGTGTCCCCAGCTCTGCGCTCCATCTTAGATCCTCTGTCAGCACTCAGGGCCGCGCGAGTGGTGTTCTTGAGAGGCTGCGGCTGCCTGCTTTGGCCAAGAGCGCTTCTTGGCAGCGCCTGGCCAGTCCTGGCGCACGGCCACTGATGCTTCCAGCGCCCCCCCCCCAGCGGCGGATGGTCCGACCTGGCAGCCCCTCCTCCTCCACCTCCTCCTCCTCCTACTTCTCCTCCTCCTCCTCCTCCTCCTCCTCCTCCTCCTCCTGTTCCTCCTCCCTCGAGCCTCCCGCCCCCTCGGAGGAGGAGATTCGCCAGGCCCAGGAGCTCAGAGTTGTGTCCCAGTCCCTCCGCCTTTTGGAGGCTGCCCGCGGAGGCAGCAACGGCAGAGGAGACCAGGGCTCTGAGTCGGGGTCTTCGGATTAATTCGTTTTGTTTTTAGACTTCCGCTGTCTTTCATGCTCGCATTCCTCCTGTTCCTCCTCCTGTTCCTCCTCCTGTTCCTCCTGCTCCTGCTCCTCCTCCTCCTCCTCCTCCTCCTCCTCCTCCTCCTCCTCCTCCTCCCCCTCCTCCTCCTCCTCCCCCACCTCCCCCTCCCCCTCCTCCTCCTCCTCCTCCTCCTCCTCCTCCTCCTCCTCCTCCTCCTCTTTCCTAAAGTGCATGCCGCCCTCGGGGAAGGAAGAAGACAGCAGGAGTCCGCAGAGCGAGGGCGTCAGTTTCACGCGAGGCAGAGGGTGCTGAAGGCACCGACGGAGGAGCGCCGAGCCTGTGATCCCGTGTTGCTTGGGTGTGCAAGGCTCGCACGATTGACAGAGCCAAGGTATACAAAAGATCGGCTACGGAGTCGTCTGCAGCGCTGAAATGCGCGCTTGGACGTTGCCTCCCGCAATCCCTTACAGCCGTGCATCGTCAATATCGTTTTGAAGCCAGAGCGCCGCGCGTCTCCCTCCTCCTCCTCCTCCTCCTCCTCCACCTCCTCCTCCACCTCCTCCTCCTCCCTCCTCCTCCTCCTCCTCCTCTCCTCCTCCTCCCCCCCCTCCCCCTCCTCCTCCTCCTCCTCCTCCTCCTCCCCCTCTTCCTCGTCCTCCCTCCACTTCCTCCTCATCATCATCGTCTTCCCATGTTGCATGTCGGCACATTTCTCACAGGTTTCGTGGCCCCATAGGGAGATACACGGAAATGCCCTAGTGGCTGCGTCCGCATGCGTCCCCGCCCCATTACGGCAGACTCCTTACACTTTTAGTGGCCCCATATGTAATTCCTTACGAGGCCCCCATGGCGGCTGCATGCGGCCCCGCCCTATTTTGGCAGACCCTTCGCACGCTTCGTGGACCCCACCGAAACTCTCAATGGCTGCGTCTGCATGCGGCCTGTCCCCGTTTCAGCAGGGCCGTCAATCGTTCCGTGGCCCAATTGGGAGCTCCACCGAAGGCCCCAATGGCTGCGTCCGCAGGTGTGGATCGGTCCTGTTTATAACCGCCACCAGTTTTCAAAAGGCTAATTTCACAACAGGCGAGTTTGCCTCTTGTCGGGTCTCGGGACCCTTACAAACCGATCCGGCTCGAAAACTGCCGCATAAAGATGGGATCTAGGGCTCCAGTCGAGTTTTTTGACGGTGTTGTACTTGTTTTGCAGCGTCGGATCTCGGGGTCTTCGGATCTGACGTAATGCAGTGGCGATAGACGGGGGGGACGAGAGGTACATCTTTCGTGCATTTTCAGGGCTCTAAAGTGGACCCCTGGGGCACAATAGGTGCGCAAAATGCGCACGTTTCTTCGACCCCACGCTTATCGCCACCCATTAAGTAACGCCCAGATGTTTCGGATGACGTCCTCGAGCCCGTTTCATTCATCCTCTCGCGATAACGGCCCTTACTGGGGGGCAGGGGGAGGGGCCCAAGGTGGGGATTTATTCATCACCACCGCGGGGGGATCAATCTTCGGTGACCTCGACAGGCGGTGGATGTGGATATGTTCGGGGCCCCTGGGGCCAAACTATCTCCATATCCACCGCCCGTTGGGGTCACATGACGTCGATTTCCCAGGCGGTGGATATACATATAACGGCGCACCGGGCTCGGGGGCCGAGGGCGGGAACTTCGACCGCAAATGTGGGGACTGGGGCCCGGGCCCGCCTTTGGGAGGCCTACAATCTCCCCGGGGAGCCTTCAGACAGCAATCCCGGCGGCCTCAGACGGTCTCGAGACACCCCCAAGACGCCGTCCAGGGGTCTCTGGCGACGCACGATGCGTTTTCAACTGCCCCAGAGGCCCCCAAGAGGCCTTTACGATGCCGCCCAAGAGCGCCCCGAGAGGGCAACTTTGTTGATTTTCATGTGTTTTTCCAATCATGTTTTTGCATTCTCGCAGTTTCGTGTTTCCGGCGCCAAAGCACCGCCCAAGAGGATCCCCAAACCGCTCCAAGACGGCCCAAGAGGCCCCAGAGGGCCCCAAGATGTCCCAAGAGAGCCCCGAGACGGCCCCAGAGCCGCCCAAGGCGGCGCAAGAGGGTCCAAAGAAGGCCCCCAGAGGGGCCCAAGAGAGGGAACGCGAATTGAAAAATCGAGCTCTCCGCCCCAAGATGCCCCCAAGAGGCCGTGACGACTTCAAGAAGCAGTTCAGGATGCTCCGAGGAGGCCCCAAGAAGGAAGCTAGAACTTGAGCGCGCGCGAAGCGCGCGCGATGGTTCTAGTACGAATGTATCCCCGCCTCGCAGTGGGGGGAAAGGCTTCGGCAACCCATCCATTCTGAAACGGCGCTGGCTCGAATCGCGTCGTAACCAGGGAGGCGGAGAGGGGGTCGTCCGGTTGATATCGCGAATCGACAAAGGAGCGCGTTCTTCGGCCACGCATCCCGAGCGATGTGAATCCAGGCCGCCGAGGTAGAGTCCAAGTGGATGGGGTCGGTGCATCGCCCCGCATTGCCGACGTATCGGCGATGCGGCGCGATCCACTGACCCTATATATTTCGACAACATTCGGGTGGCCGCCAGTGATGGGGAACAGTTTTCGAAATGCCATCTTCGCCCTCGCGGTGTCTCTGTTGCGTGTTCGTTTCTCTGGATCGAGGCTGGGGCGCCGTTCGCCCACTTGGCTTCGCGGCCGCTCGCCGCAGGTGTGAAGGGGGTTGAGAGGGATCATCGCGATATTGTTTGCCTCTTCCTTTCGCTCTCCATCTTCCCTCCTCTCTCTCCCGTCCCTGTCCCCTCGTCCTCTTCTCCCCCCTTGATGCCCCATCCACCCTCTCACACTCATTCCCCCTCTTACCCCATCTCTTGCACTGCCTCATCTTCCTCTGCTTAACCCCTCCTAATTTGCCGCCCCATCCCCCACCCACTGCGTCCACTGTGCTCCTCCCCCGCTCCTCCTCCTCCTCGCCCCTTCTCTTCCCGCCGCTACTCGCCCTCCTATTCCTGTTCTTCCCACTTGCTCCATTTTCCCCATCACTTAGTGATGCAACTCCTGGGAGGGCAGTTTCAGCATCGGTACTGGTTTCATGCACTGCCTCTGAATAGGTTTCTTCGTAGGCTCAATCTGGGCTGATCCTGCGCTGTGGCGCCTTAGTGGGCAGGAGTTGTCGCCGACATCCCTCCTCGTCCCCCCCCCTGGCCCGATCCACGTCCCATGTTTCCTTCCTCCCCCGCCTCCCTCCATCCCCCCCGAGCGCAGGCGCCCACTCCGCTCTCTCGCTCTTCGTCGAGCGTCGGCTCAACGCCCACTTGCGCCGTCGTGAGCCTGGCACCCCCGTCCCTTATGCATACCTTGGACGCTTGATCCGTCGGGAGGCGCACGTGGAAGGAGCACTTTTTCGACTTCGAGCGGGACTGGCTCCAAGGGCGGACCAAGGGGGGAATCGCAGAGCGCAGAGCGCGCCGAGTCCGCCGGCTGGTCGGCCAGCGGGCCCCTAGGGCAAGCGCGAGTGGGCCAGGGCCCGCTCATTGCACTTGCTGAACGCAGGCGCGTGTCCCACCAGAGTCGGAGCCGGAGTCGGAGAGATGGGACGGGGCCAGGAGTTGGAAAAGAAATAAGAGCTGGAGTCGGAAGTTGCATGAGACCTTCTCGTTTCAAGCGCTTGTTTTTCTACATGGTGGGATTGATGCTGGCTGCTGGTCTAGACACTGTAGGTGAGGAGTGACATGCCTGCCAAGAGAAATAATCAGGAGAGACCGTAGGTGAGGAATAGACCGTCGGTCAAGTGCAACCGCTTGGTTCCGAAGCGTTTCGTGCCAAGAGAAATAGTCAGGATCGTGAATCTGAGTCGGAAAGACGGGAGCTGGAACCAGAGCCGGGGTCGGAGAGATGGGGTAGGAGCATGGGAGCCCGAGTCGGAGAGATGGGAGCTGAAGTTGGAGAGGTAGGAGCTGGAGTCGGAGAAAATGAGAGCCAGAGTCGGTGGGAGTCGGAAGCGGTGGGAGCCGGAGTCGTTGGGACAGGAGCAAGACGATCGCAGGAGTCGGAAGGATGTCTTAGATCATGTGCCAGCGTCGGTCGGGCTCGTGGGTGGGAGAATGAATTGCTGCACGTAGCCCAGAAAACCGTCCTCCATGGTGTTCCACCGCTGTTTGTTCCCAGCAATGTCCACCCACTGTTTGTCATACTCGTATGCTATGACCGCTTTGCGAGAGTGTGCGATATCGTCGTCCCACGTTTTCTGTTGGCCACCGTGTCGTCTTTCTGCTGGTCGAGAATCGTGCTCACGTGGGATCCAAGTCGCACATCGTCTCGTCCACATATCGTGATAATGGCTGGCAGCCCGTGCTGCGTAACGCCACTCTTGTTTGCGTTCATCTCGTATTTGTTACAAACTCAGATTGGCGGCGCGAGAATTAAGCCAGCGAGAGTGCGCGGGTGTCTGCGGCGCGTGTCGCGGCAGTTCGAGTGTCATTGTCTAGCACCTTGGCTGTCAAATTCGTTCGTCCATCGGTGGTGCAAGGCCCGTTTCTGGGTGACATCGGGCGCTCGCTAGTGGGTTGCGTGAGCGCGGCGACCCTGAGTTCATCGTCGTTTGGTCTTGCTGGCGCTGTTCTTTACCGATTATTCGCGTCCTCGTTCCGCTCATGTTCCTTACCTCGGTGGTTTCTTATGTTTTTTTGGTGTGCATGGGTTAACGTTGGAATTGCCTATTCCATTCCCGCCTTCACGCCCCCTCCCCTCACCTAGTTGTCTGGTGCCAGGCTGACTGCTAGTTGTCTTGTTTCTCATGCCCCATCCAGGGGATCCACCGCCAGACCCACCTGCGCCACATCACATCCACCTGAGCCTCGACCGCCACGTGCCATCGGTGGCGAGCGTGCGGCAGGTGGCCACATCGTGGCTGAAGCATCGCGCACTATTCCTGGCAGGGTCGAGGAACGCACTCGAGACGACGTGCCAATGTGGCCACGCTGGCAAGTGCACTAAGACTCGGACAAGAAACAGGAACCCAAGGCACCCACCTGGGCGACCGCTGGGGTATTTGGTAGCTTGGCTATTGCGAGGTCGGCGACAAGCCCGCTCACCAAGGTATCGGTATTCGGTGGGGTCAAGGGCCTTGCCCAAGTTACGACGAGCGCCTTGCTGCGCGGATCTGGGCTCGCAACCCACTTTCCCGAGGTTCCAGGCGTTGGAGGAGCTCGAGGGCGATAGGCGGCCTGGGGATTTGGCCCTTCGTGCTCGTGGGCCCCTGCCACTGCTTGTGCCCCTGCGGCAGCCCTACTTTGCAGCGCTCTGCTGCCCCGCACATCTGCTTCGCCTTCCTGCCCTGCTGAGGGGGCCTGGCAGCCGCGCGGCGGTCCTTCCCGATTGTTTCCTCCCCGTGCCCTGGCGCCCCCCTCCTCCCCCGGCGGGCCCACTGGACTTGCCTGGGTCGCTACTGCACCTGGTGCCTCCCACTAACTCCGCGGGCGGTGTCGGCCTCGACTGGCCCAGTGCTCGTTGCGAGTATTCATGCCCCAACTCGCCTTGGCAGGCCTCGCGCGCCGCGGCTGACCGCTGGCACACTTGATCGCAACATCAAAGGCCCACCAACAAACGCGCGCCCCCCCCCCCCGCCAAAGGCGCAGGACACCGGGGTCCAGACATTAGGGGCTAGCCGCCGATGGAGGGGGACCTGACGCAAGCAAAACACGGGCGCAGTGATCAATAGCACCCCGGGCCCACCCACCAACAAAATCATATTGCCCCCTCGAAGGTGCAGGGCGGAAGGTCGGGGCATCAGGGACTAGCCGCCGATGGATGGGGGATTCTGCACACCAGGGTCGGCAGAACGCTCGTTTTATGAGAAAGTTTGTCGCAAGCGCCACTGATGAGATGGAGCAGAATTGGCGGGTGCACCTGCTATCAACGTCACGATTTGAGAACGCCGATCCACGCCAAGAGCTCTTTTTCCATGTACTCAGCGGGGGCCGAGCCAGTTGCGACCACGAACCCGAGCTGCTTGAACGAGTCGGTCAGCACATTCTCCTTTGCTGGGTCGCTCACCGAGAACACGATCTTGATTATGGGAGTTCTCGGGGCGCCACAACTTGACGTAGTCGGGCGCGTCCCCACCATCGCCTTGGACCAAGATTTGAGCGACTGCCTGTTGGCCCGCCCGACCTCTTCCTCGCCCAGCGTCTCGACCATGGCCTCGAATCATGCCCCACGTTGCGCGGCTCCGTTGGGTCAATTGTTTGACGTGCATGGCCAGGAGGAACAGCAGCTCGCGCAGGCCGCCGTCCTTGGTCGCCAACTTCCTGTCCTTGTCGGCTCGCCGACGGCGGGCACCGCCACGACGGGCAAGTTTCACCTTGGCTGCTGCTCCTCGTGCGACTCCTGCTCTGTCCTCGGCATTCTGCCTCTTGCGATCTTCCGGAAAATTGTAAAAGAACACCATCACCCAAACCGGTGTTTTCTTGGTGGACGCACACATTCGCAAAACCAAAAGCAGCAGTCGAATGCACATCCTTGCAGGCACGTTTATGACATCAAGGAAGTCACCGCGCATGCAAACATCCAACTCACGTGATCCGTGGAGGTCGGAATTCAGCGTGCGTGTCCTTCCAAGGAAGCTGGCGCCGAAGCGACAGCACCATCTATGGTGGATGCGTAAGGTTGTCTCAGGTGGGAGACACGTGCAGTAGTGAATTGCCAGGAAACCATAAGAGAGAGAGAGAGAGAGAGATCAGAAAGCTGTCGGGAGGAAGGACATGAAGTTGACGAGGTTTCCCTTGTTTGCCGTACCTCGAGTTTTCGGTAGTATGTTTTAGGTTCCCAGCTATAGCAGATTTATGTCCACCAACACCGATTACCACCAACAATTTACTCACTTCACGCGGCGTACACCACATCAGGTTCGTGTCACCTCACGCGGGCTGCACTGTTTCTCTTGGCCCTTCGGCAGTGGTTCGTGGGGTCGACGAGGGCGTTCCTGCTATCCTCGCCATGCACCCCCCATCGGGGTCGGAGGAGAGGTTGGGGGCGGGCTTTTTTTATGATGCGAGCAGGCCGGCTGATGGCCAAGGTGCGTTTATGACAGTTGCTTCCCATAGGCACGCGCGGCCATGGAAGCCAACCCCATGGCGCATCCGCGTGTGCTTTGATCGACATTGAGGCGCAGAGTGGCCGCGAGGTGCGACAAACGGCCGTTGCATTTGTTCGGCCCCCGGTGCTGGTGGTACGATATAGGTTTCCTAATCTTCGGGCTTGGACAGTTGCCCACCAGGCGCTGACGGCTGAGAGGACTCCACCTTTCTAGGTCCGCGCCAAGCACCACGAGGCTGCTCCACCTCCATCAGGGCGGCCCCCACGAAGCCGACGGACATCGTCCCCAGCAACAATTCGCCCAGCAAAGATACGCAACTCGCTGCCACGAACACGAGGAGGCGCCGCAGGCACAAGAGGCACGATCGCGCGTCTGCGCGGGTCTCGAGGCTGCCGTGGCGGTCGGGGCTCGACCACAGCAATCGGGGGTCCTGCCGCTGTCGTTTGCAAGTGTGAGCTGAGGTGGCCGCGGAATTATGGATACGATGAACACACACTACCACACACACCATGCACTTGTAGTTGCACGTGTCCTTGAACGCATACGGGTACGCCGTGTTGTTGCACATGCAGCGCCTGGCGTGCCAAGCTCGTTCAAGCTGATATATGGTGCTACATTTGCTGCACGCGTTCGCAGGTGTGAGCAGATGGAATATGTTTATCCTTCCATGTCCCTCCCCTTGGTTCCGTGTAACATGTGCTAAAAGTGCTGCTCGTGTCTTGGACGACGCTCCACAACAATACCCATCCCCCATGACAATGGCGCACGTGAAGGACGGAGATGGATTCTCCCACCTTTCTTCTCCGTTGAGATCCTCAGGTGCGGAGTCCGCCAGTGACGCAGGGGGGCTTCCACACATTAGCTGTGAAGGCCGTCCGTAAGGAGCGCGGATCGAAAGCCAAGAAGCGGCAGTTCACGTCAGTGTCCCAGAGCAGCTCATGAATGTCGCCACCCCAGGCCTCCGCGAAGTCCTCTGCCGTAGGGTTGGGCAAGCAGACTCCGCCTCGAGCTCCCGCTTCATTTCTCCCAAAAACACCGACAGGAAATGCGAGTGGTTCACAGGATCCCGATCCACATTCTGCCACGCTTTCAGCCTCTGGACTGTCGCCTCGAGCGCAAACGGTACCAGCTGCCAGTGACGGTATAGTTCCCGAGACGTGAGCGAGCGATTTTGATCGTTTTTGAAAGTAGCCGCATTTCCCATCATAGAGCGTAATGTTCACCAGTGATGAGCAAGCCGTGCGGTGCTCGCCCTCCGTCCAAGCCATCGTTATTGCACCAGACAGCCCAGCGCCACTGACCAGCGAGATGAACATCAGCTTCTCC